TATATACCTACATAAAATACTGCCACAAAAGAACTCACTTATACGACGAATTCGATCGTACATATCCCATTCCGCCTCGGTTTGAGGCATCGGCTCGTCCGCACGTAACGGTATCGTTCCATGGACCCAACAAAAATCGGTCAGATAATTGTTGTAATTATCCCCGGTCGGTTTGACCGGGATATAGCAAGAAATCGAGTTAAGAAAGTACTGTTTTGCGGTCACAATGATGCACGCGATCAGGAACAAGACCACAGTGAACAAATTCAACTGATCCGCGAAATCCTCGACCGNAAGTCGATGAAATCTTTGGCAACCATTGTGATCGAGCACAAGGAACAGAAGTATTACTGTGGTTCAAATACCGATCACTGGTAATATCGAGATATTGAACTACCGCACACGGGACCCGTTTCGCAGTCTCGGAGCTTGTTTCATTGGTCAATGGGTAAGCAGATGTCTGACATGACTTGCCAGTGGTCTGGAGCTGTGTGTGTTTGTGCATATGCACGTCTGCCTGCGTGCGTACGTGCATGCATCAAACAGTCACCGGGTACGTACATGTGTGTCTGTGCGCACACGCGCGCGCTTGAGTAGACGACTGAGCGGAATACACGAAGTTGCCACGACATGGCATGCGAACGAGGTTTATAGTTCCGTTCATCGGATTGCATTGTTGAAACAGGCACAAGTCAAACACACGAGAACATGAGGAGATCGAGGTGATGAACCCCGAGACTGTGGGTGTGTGAGAACCACCCGAGGCTGAATGGACACCGAAGAACCATCGGGGTTTGTCGTCGAACAGACAGGAAGTCTATTGCGTATATTTTAATCGAAGTGACACTCAGACCTACGTGAACTAAAGCTGTACTGATATGCTCCAGTAGCAAATTATCCCACTTGAAAAATCCTGCTGTAAACCATGAGTAGATCGATCAATCACTGCTAATTTTTGATCTCTTCTCCGCCGTGCATGACAATTTAGGTCACCGTATAAAAACCGATACTGGATTTCGTATATAAGGGAGCATCAATATCACTCACAACTGATCCTGGTGATTGGAGAATAACATTTCAGCGCTTACGAATTCAATCGAAGATAAACCCGGAGGAAAGTAGTTCACTGATCTCCAATTCACAGGGTAACTTTTAAACCAAGAGACTGCGAAATGACAGAACTTTCAACAACCGTGGTTTTTAATTGCTGATAGCAACCATAGCTAGCGATAGCAATCTCCGTGGATTCTTTTCTTAAATGCCACACCTGACCGGGAGGGGACTTATTTGGTTAACCGGTCCAAGTCCCGGAGCTCAGTTTGCCGGTTTCCGTCACTGGACAACAGATTGTCATAACTACCGGGTCCGCTCCGTTTGTTGTTCATCACACAAAGGTGTGCAATAAATGTCCCATGCCCCAACTAACGTTTCCAGTTCAACTCAGAGTAGGTAACCAGCCCAACTGACAGCCGGTTCAATACCAAACACATCCGATCGTAGCCTAAAGCAACAAGTCCCCATGTGTAACCGCCAAAAGCGATTGTACTAGTCCGAGTGAAACCAAGCATTTTGGGCTATATCCATTCAGTCAAATCACTCTCCGTTCAATCTAGGTATTGATAGCTAAACCTCAGAGAAAACCGTAAACTGTAGTTCTAGAAAACCAAGCCAAATCCAAAATAATGTAAGCTAGCCTTTGAAAATTATCATGAAAACGGTAAGTCTGAGCCAAGATGTCGTAACCAGTCAAGCCAAGTTAAGTTATATTTTTGATTTGATTTTCGAAACACACCTTAGTGTGATGGACGTGTAGGCAGTGTTCTTCATTTCACAGTATATAACTGGTAAACCATCGGATGAATAAAAACGCTTGTATACTATGAAATCAAACAAAACGGTCTTGGGAGTGTTAATGCAACGGGGAAGTAGTTCAGGGAATCTGGAAATGAGAGTAAAGTCTTCCTCTTAGAGACCGGGGGAAAATAAAACCAGTGGGGAATAATACAGGCGGTCACAAATTTAAGCATTACATTTAGAGGAACGAGCTGCAAGCTCTCATCTAAATGTCTTTACTAATAATCACAGGAATACGTTTGTGGTAATAATAAATCAATGACAAAATGAAAAATCTAAGATGCTCGTCAGATATTTCCGAACTGAGAAGAGATGTTTGTACACCTAATTGTAGCAGTCACAACAAGTTCAATATAACAGATAGTAACGGTTATTCTAATACAGAACGTTTCTTGGAAGTCAAGCTCAAAATAAAACAAAGGGGAGTCAAAAATAAAAATTTACCCATGAAAAAAACCATTATCAAAAGGAACAACCGAATAAAGCATAACATAAGTAGAGATATGCAGGCTAATAAAGGAATTTTCAACTTCAATAGAAGTTTTCTGAAATTCTATCATGTTCACGTAAGGGGGAGTACTCCCTATATCTTGGTGTGAAACTTTCTGTAAAAGTAAATCTGTTGGGCTGCCCGATAATTTGTGAGAAAATATCGAAAATTGTTCCACTAAGGGAAAGACGAATATGAACGGTTTGAGTAGACTGAAAAAATCTGTGGAATGTTGTGGAATAAATCATTCGAAATGAACTCTTTTTTATTGGACACAATCCGAGAGAGACCAGACTGATTTCAATGCATTATTATCAGTTCCATTCATTTTCAGCCGAATTTGTCGGTGTACGCTCATGTGATGCCACAACAAACAGGCTATGGGCAATCTGAATTCATTTGTCTATTATGAAGTCTTGTATGGACTTTGCCAATGAGATTCTAAACGAACCCACCCATCCTTTGCAATTTGACTAATCTTCTTGTCGCTCCCACTCGATCACTCGTTCCTGTTATCGGTACCTACCCTCCTGAATAAACATTTATAAAAACTCCAGTGTACCGTATCTGGCTCGCATCTTGATCAACAAGGAACGAGTTCTAAATGAATTACGTCAATCTTTAATTGAATGAATTAAACTTCAGATACATTTATTTTTTACACAGCACTATTGAATATAAATTCAATTATTTATACTTCTATATTTTCTCCAGTGTGATGACCAGTGTGCAATTTTTAACTGAAATGTAAGCATATCTCAGTTTGCAAAAGTTATACTAATACAAATAGCCATAGATGTGGAAATGAGTAATTGCTAAACTAAAACAAACGGCATGCACACAGGCTCAGTGACCTTACAGGTAAAACATGAATTTTCTGTGGACACGTAGCCTGTTCAAGGTATGATTGACCGGAAAAAGGTGTTTACATTAAACGAAAAACTAGTTTTCTCTGAGAACATACATGAAAGCCAATTGTTTGAGGACAAAAGAATCGATCGTACTTGATAGTGACTACCTGTCTCTTATACCCTAATGAAGGAACCGATCTGTACAATCCACACTTGTTATCGGAAAGTTGAAGGGCGGTTCAATAAACAGACAAAATATCGAAGCAATCACAATATCATCCTGATTCAGAAGAGATGGTTTTGGGGAAATTGCGCGTCGTGCTCATGGTGCAAGATCCATTGAGAAAGAAAGACAGATGTTTGAATTAGCCACAAAGACAGAGGGACCTC